TACCACTAAGATTGAAAAGTAGCTTATAGGCAGTTTTTAAAGGTATCTTAGAAAATGTCCACACTAAGAAGCTGGCTTCAACTCCTCTGCCTGCTTGCTTGCTTGCTTGCATTCTGGTCATGCCCCCTCGTTTCCTTCCTTTTTTCTAGTATTGCGAAGTAAACTCTGGGTCCTCTTATCAGTGAGCTGCATCCCCAGACCACTTCATTTTTTGTGACAGGGTCTCACAAAGCTGCCCAGGCTGGGCTCTAACTTACAAGTGTCCTGTCTCAATTCTCAGTAGGTAGGATTACAGGCCTGCAGGTTGGCAAAGTACCTGCCTTCAACTCTATTTCTATTACCAAGATGTAAGTATAGATTTTTTAATGTTATATACAATAAAAAATTATTTTCAAGTAAAGCATCTTTAATTAAACTTGACTGTAGAATATTTACAATCATTAAAAAACAACAGGTTCATGAAAAAAAATTTTACTTATTAAAGCAGAAATCTAACTCACAGTACATCAATTCTCAGTAATCATTTATTTCTAATGTACCTTACAACTTATCTTTTTAATTCAAATGTTTAGGAAAAACCAGGAAGTAAAACATAAGACTTCCATCCCAGCCAGGCCTGGTGGCCCCAGACTTGGGAGATCAACATGAGTTAGAGGGCAACCTGGGCTACGTAGTGAGTTCAAGTACTGCCTAAACGATATAGTGAGAACCTGTCTCAAAGAAAAAAAAAAACCTCAATCCTAAGAGGCAAAATGAAATAAAAATTTTTTAGGGGCTGGGGATTTAGCTCAGCGGCCTGTCTTGCAAGCCTGTGGTCGTGAGTTTGATCCCTGGTACCGGTAAAAATACAAAAAAAAAAAAAATTTTTTTAAAACTTAGAATTTAGGAAAACAAGAAAAGAGACTTGGTGGGAATAATGAGTTTTATACATACAATCACCCAAAAGCAAATGTTACTGGGAACAAACACTACTAGTTTAGCAAACTCTTCTTCTTAGATTCTGACCTAGACCTTCAATTTTCCGTCTATAAAATACTATAAGTACTACATTGTCTGTAAATAATGCAGTAAATTTTCTTTCATAGTCTTAGAAGCAATTACAATCAGGGTTAGGGCAGCAACAGGGATTGAACAGAGGGAACAGAGTTACATCACCTTTTATTTCAGATCAGGGTATATAAATCACCAAGACTGGCCTCAAGCTTGTGATTCTCCTACCACAGGCTTTAAGTAGCTGAGATTAAGGTATATACTATCTTATCTAATTATAAATTCTGATCTGGTATATTTATTAATAAACATTTGAGTTCCTCTTAAAATTTATTTTTCAGAGCTATGCAATATTTAAGCATTATAATTTTTAAAATATATATATACATAAAATTATAAACTCATACAAATAAAATAAAACAATTCTTTTTTTTTAAACATTATTTTGAAATAACTACAGGTTCTTAAGGGGTTACAAAAAGAATGTATAGAGAAGTCCCATGCACCCTTCCCATGCTGCCATGCTTTTTGTTTTATTTTGTTTTTTGATATAAAGTTTTGCTAGGTAGCCTTGAACTTCTGGGCTCAAGCAATCCTCCTGCCTTCAACCCCCCCAGGAACTGAGGAGCTGGGACAACTAGTCATGTACCATCATCTTATGTAACTTCAAAGGCTGAAGATATAGCTCAGTGGCATAGCACCTGCTTGGCAAGTGGTAGGTTATGAGTTCTATCCCAGGTACCAAACCAAACCAAACCATACCAAACAAACAACAAAAAAAGAACCAAATATTAAATTCAGATAAAATGGACACAATATATGACTTCAGTGGTTTTTCATACATTATATAAGAAATAAAAAGAAAGCAGCATGTTACATCAGAATTTCTTATAAAAAAACAGCTTATGTTTCTGTGGAAAAAGGGGAAAATGTGACAAAGGTCTTTTAGATTTTCAGGCCTTACATAAAAAATTTAAAAATTCCAAAATTAAGGGACAAAAACATTTTGGTATTTGTTTCATAACAAAATTTGGTACCATCTATATTTTGTGTACTGTAAATGAGGAAAATTATGCCTAAGACAAACTCACTTTTATGAGGAACAGAAAAATCTTTTCTTGAAATAGAAGTATCAAAAAGACAATAATTCTGTAATTATAAAGTGAATTATTGGGGCTGGGGATTTAGCTCAGCAGCATAAGCACGTGCTTTGCAAGCAGGCAGTCGTGAGTTCGATCCCTGGTACCGATAAAAATGAAAAAGACAAAAAAAAAATAGGTTAAAAAAAAAAAAGTGAATTATTTCCCCATAATAACACTGACCATATTTTATACAAAAAAGATTGGACTCCGTAATAGTGATGTGAATACACTTAGCAAAAAAAATATGCAGTATGTACCCCCTCCACCACTCTCTTTCGAGTAAGTTATTCATTCCTTTGTAACTATATAATTATAAAGGCTTTGTTCTGTTTGTTAATTGCCTTAAGAGTACCAGACGTGTACATAAGGTGCAAGTGTATGTCACACTGTATACTACACTAATTAAAACAATAACACTGGGGGTGTGGTGGCACACATCTGTAATCCCAGCACTTGGGAGGCTGAAGTAGGAGAATTGCTTTGAGTTCAAGGCCACTACACACTACATTGTGAGTTCAAGGCCAGCCTGGGCTACATAGCAAGACCCCATCTCAAAAACTTTAAAATCAAAAAATAAAATAATAAGGATTGTGAATGTGAGTATCTCCAGGAAGCAAAGAATCTTTGAGCATTTAGAGGCATCCATATGTGCCTAGTAGTACTGGTAGACTGAGTCTGTATCAGATGCTTTACATTAAGAAAGACTAGACTGTGCAGTATAACTCAGTAGTACAGTATTACTTCTCTAGAATACAGAAGATCCGGATTTAATCTCCAACTCTGGGAAGGAAAATGACATGGAATAACTAGTAATTTAGAATTGGAACCTCTTTCCTCTCATCCCTCTTTCTAGGTTTCAGTCCATCACTAGAAGTGTCTATATTTGGGCAGAGTGAGTGGTACAGTCATTTGTAATAGAGTGCCTTCTTAGGGAACCTATTATTTTTCCAAAGAAAGAGAATAAAAAACAACTTATACACAATACACAGAATATTCCATTTATTTTCTGAAATTAATTTATGTGATTTACAATGGCTTTTAAAAAGCATATAATAATTGGGCTAGGGACGTGACTCAATGACAGAGCCCTTGACTAACATGAGCAAGGTCCTGTGTTCAATCCCCAGCACCTCAAAACAGTAAAACCAAACAAAGTAAGAACCTCTCCCCCAAAAATCTATATGATTATGGTATTCTTAAATGGACTGCGTAGGATACTACACGAATAGTAGAGAGCACCTTTGCGTTGTTCCCAATAGCAGAAGCAGGAGTGGTAAAAACAAACTGCCCCTAGAGACTAGAAATATGTACAAAAGGGGACACAATGACAGTATTTTCTTGCTTTCAATGTGATAGTTTCTAAGAGTTCTAAGATAAACAATTTTTTACTTTTAAAATTAAATGCATCTTTCTGACAGATAAAATTCTTATTAAGATGTATCTATATATTGAACCAGAGAACATGCACTTTTTCATTCCTCAGCTTCAATAATCACTTAAACTTGTAATTTTCAAAAACAGTATTTTAGGCTGGGGATTTAGCTCAGCAGCATAAGCGCTTGCCTGGCAGGCACAAGGTTGTGAGTTCAATCTCCAGTACCAAAAAAACCGCACACAATATTTGTATCAATAACTTAGCATTAAAGTGGTTCATCATTCAAAAATAAAAAATAAGCCACCTGTGGTGACATATGCCTGTAATCCCAGCACTGAGGCAGAAGGATCATTGCAAGTTTGAAACCAGCCTGGGCTACAAAGTGAGCTCAGCCAGCCTGAACTGCATAGCAACACTCTGTCTCAACCAGACCAAAAAATAAACTTAAAAATAAAATAAAATAAAAGGTAATTAAACTTATATAGATAGGTACTTAGTCCAAACTGTTTAGAGGCAAAGTTAGGATACACCATTGAACACATTAAAATGGCTTCTGTAAAAAAAACAAAAGTTGCCAAAATATTCCCTTTGTTCTATTGAAATACAGCTTGGATTTGTTTCTGAAATCTGCTTTTTTTTAAATAAAGCAAGTCCTATGCCAGGTCACAGTTACTCAGGAGACTGAGGATTCCAAATTTGTGGCCAACGTGAGCAACTTAGCAAGACTCCTAGTGACAATGTAAAAAAAGAAAAAAAAAAGTACTGGGGATGTAGCTCAGTGGCAGAATACCCCTGGTTGGGTTCACTCCCCAGGACTACAAAAACTAACCAACCAACTAGTCAACCAATTAAAAAAGCAAATCCTGGGTTTAAATGCATAGTACTAATTATCTCTATATTGTTAGGACTAAAATTTCAATTAGTTAAGATTAAAATGTAGAATCAAATTACTTTCCAAAATATAAGCACCTGGATCTCCTGAAAATAAGACCTAGCTGAAAATAATCAGTCTTGAGATAAAAAAACGTCAGTCTCAATTCCCTTGCCTTACCTGCCACATTGAGTAGCCACCAATAGTGAGGTATAATCTGCATGACACTGGCCATCACTCTGGTCATGGTAATGGCTAGTTTATTTTGCATTGGATCTTATTTTTAGGGAAACACAATCTTACATTAAAAACAAGTATTATCTTGATTCTTGATGCCAACAAATTATAAATGGAAAAGACAAAAACAATTTTTTCTTTTTTTATTTTTACTTCATCAGCCATAAAAGACAAAAACAATTTTAAAAATACTAAATTGTGGTTCAAAAATTATTTATAGAAGTAATCTTGGCTAACGAAAAGCTTCCCATTAAAATCCGGTTATTCAAGAATCCAAAATGAGAAAAACACAAATGCAAATTAAGCACTACTTTGTTGTACTAAAATAATTGCATGGAATATTCTATCTTTCCCTATCCAATGTACTTTTAATTTAAATACTTACTCTGAGCCTGCAGCCATTTCCAAGTGTGATGCTTCTGCTGTATCAACCCCCAATGGGATCACTATGCTCATGACGTTCGCCTCTGGTAAATTCGATTACTATGGAGTCCTATGCATTGGTATCCAAAACACTGGGGCATGCCAGCCACAGTGCTCATTGCAAACATCTAAGTGCATCCACAAACCCTGTTTGAAAGAAATGGGAACAAAACAGTTAGGAACTATCTGTTTTTCCTTTTTTTTCTTTTTTCTTTTTTGGTCCCGGGGCTTGAACTCATGACCTTGTCCTTGCCAGGCCAGTGCTTATGCCTCTGAGCCAACGCCCTTGCCCAATAACTATCTTAAGTAGCAACATTCACACTATTAAAAACAGTAAGTAAAACACAGGAAAACATTCTGTATTAAGATCTTAACATAAATAGAAATTTGCTCTGGGGTACCTAGTTCGCTTCTTTTTCTGAATTCAGTTGTATGACTATAATCAAAAGACAAGTTTCTGGAGATGTAGTTCAGTGACAGAACAATGCTTAAGCATGTCTGAGGCCCTTGATTCAATCTGCATTACCAAAAAGAAAGTGTGGTGGTGGGGGTGGGGGAAGTGGAGGAATGAAGGGTAGAGGGTATTTTCTGGTTCACAACTTTCTTTAGGGAATGATTTAGGACATAACAGAAGATTGCTAAGACGTACTCTTCATTTTAAAAGACCAAGTTGATTTTCTTATGGCATTGGCATTGGCAAACCAATGTTGGTTCAGTGCGTGATCTAACAGTATATTAAAAACTTACGGACTAAGCTCCAAGCCTTTTGCATGATTAGTCTAGGTGACCCTTACAATTCTGAGATAAGTATCTCCATTTTATCACTAAGGAACACAAAGCTAAGAAAAGCTACATAAGCCAAGTTTTTCAGTTTAAGAGACGACTCCAGAATTGGCACCAATTCTATTCTACTGCATACATATGTACACAAGAAAAATTGTTTTATTTGTAATAAAATCAAAAGGATTCTATATGTTTTCAATTAGTTTTAACTTTCTAGAGTTAATATAACTAGTGGAGAAAATTAGTAAAGTTGGTACTTTAAACACATGACAGTAACTAAAAGATACTCAGCTTTAACATCAATTTTTCTAGTAAGTTCACTCCATATTTGCTGCCTGTATTTTTATAGACTATCTATTCAAAGTCCTTTCAGTAATGACACAATACAACTTATGAAGGACCGACAATCCTATAAAATGAAAAACTGCAATAGCAATATTTCCCTGTCACTCTATGCTATACTTGAAATAAAGAAGAACAATGTTCCTTCAAATACTTTCGGTACTTACTTTTTTCTTTTTATTTAGGCTTCCTCCTCTACCTCAATCTATTCCTTCACCTTACCCTACAACATTCACACACCCAAAATATTAATTCACTCCAAGATCAAACAAACTCACTGGCCAGAGTAGTTCTACAACAAGGCAGGACACTCCGTATTCTCATAGTAAAAAAAGGAGGATACTATGCTAAGTTGGGGGAAAAATGCTGCTACTTTGTTAACCAATCAGGTATAGTCAATGATCAGTTACAAAAACTCAAAAAATTAGCAGCTAATATACAAGGGAGGCAGTATTTTCCAGAAGCCACCTTTTGGTCTTCATGGTGGGATTCCCTAAGGTCCTGGACTCCCCTTCTAATGCCCATTATGGGTCCCATAACTACCACAGTAATTTTTTTGCTTTTTGGTTCCTGTGCCTTTTGGCTCCTCTCACAATTTATCCAAACCAGAATACAGGTGTTCACTACCAAAGAAATCCTACTACCAAGTGACATCACTACCTCACAAACTCAGATGAAAAGGACACCTCAATCCCATTATCTTCTACCGTAGGCCCCGACCACACCCCCTCTCAGCAGAAAGCAGACAAGAGACTGCACCACACACCTAATACCAAAGAGATGGGAATGTTGGATCCCCTATCTGAGAGATAGCACAGTCATCATGGCAGTGGTTCAAAGCTGTGCCATGACAATGCACACCTCCTTCTTCCCAGAAGCCCCTATGGCCTCTTCCTCCCAAAGGTTTGCCAAAGCTCAGGAATGTAAAGGTTTACCCAATCTCCTGCACTCTCACAAAATAAATCAGCTCACACCAGCCGCCAGAGCGTTTCCGCCATCAGAGCCTCATCAGGCAGAACGTCCCTTTGTAGAGAGCTGCCACAGCCTTTCTTGTGGTGACTCCCTCCATGCCCTTCCCAATTACTAAATTCCTTTCTTATCTACTTGCCTCCTCTCCTTAATATTCTGCGCTACTCTAGATTGAGTACAAATCACTCAATCAATTATAGACAGCTAAATTAGGTAGAACTATAGTAAGTCATCAGACAGGGCTGGGCCCTTGAGAGAGTCAGAGTAAAAGATGAGAATCCATCAGGACTGCAGCTGGGGATGCACCGGAAGATCTGTACTTACTTTTAATCTTTACAATTAAGCCTGAGAATATCCTAATCAGGTTAATTCCTATTTCATAGATACAAATTATGAATTCATACCCTGTTAAGGAAAATTATCAAACTAGGAAAATAAGGTGCTAAAAGTGGTTTGAATTTTATAAAGAAGTATCTTTCTCATCATGTGTGACTAGTATCTTTCTCATCATGTGTGACTAGATTATGCTATTATAATATGAAAATACACAGTAAGCCAGGCATGGTGGTACATCCTATAGTTCTAACTACCCTGGAGGCTTACATAGAAAATCACATAAACCCACAAGTTTTTGAACAGCATGGGAAATATGAGATCTCACCTCAAAACCAAACCAAGCCAAACCTAACCAAACCCAAAACAACTATAAAACAGGTAATTACACCCAAAACAAACAAACAAAGGATCAAAAAAATCCTGTTAATTTTGGAGTCTGCTCATATCACTAACAAGATGTGCAAGGCTGGGCAAGTTATTTAACCTGAGAATCGGGTCCATGTTTATGAAATAGAGATTTATTTTATAGGGTTTCTGTGAAGGCAATGAAATAATAAATGTAAAACATTTCAAAGACCACATTACACATACTTAACAATCAATGTACAGGTTTATGTATCACTAACCTGAAAGTATAAAATCTGAAATGCCCCAAAATCTGCTCAGGTTTCAGATTTTTAGATAGAAAATGTTCAACTCGTTAATATTTGTTATGCAAATATTCCAAAATCTGAAAATAATTCCAGTCTCAAGCATTTTCATTGAGATACTTGAATAAGCCACCTAACAACAATTCTTATTAAACAACTAAATAATACGTGGATAGAAAAATACTGTACTTCTCTTTTTTGGTACCGAGGATCAAACTCATGACCATGCACTTGCAAGGCAGACGCTTATGCTGCTGAGCTAAACCCCCAGCCCCTGCACCTCTCATTTAGAAAAAAATCCTCTAATAGCTTCATAAAGAACTAATCATTTTCTGTATGCCATGTTTTTATAATGTGCTCCACAAATTAAAATCACTCTCCAATGATGATTAAAACAGTGAACAAAAGGAAACAATGCTTTTCTCTATCTATGACCACATTAGAGTTACTCCATAAATGCCCTATTTATTAAGTAGCATGAAGGTATAAAATTATAAAATTTCTATGTGGCAAGCACAAACAATGTACAAGCCTGTAACTTTATTCTATTTAAATGTTACACTATTTTATACTCCCTTAACTACAATGTTGAAGACTTGGACTAATAAAGGTAAACAACCACAATTTTTAAAAACCTTTTTCTTGTTGATAGCATCAAGTTGGTAGATGTTTTCTCCAGCTCAGGTTATTTTTGTACCAGATTTATAAGGTATTCATTATGCATTCTTTTAAGTAACTGAATAATCATCTATTTGGATACATATTTAATAGTGTACACCTTTTTTATATAAGTATACAATCATCACTAACCATTACCCTTCAGCTGTTTTTAAATAGCAAAAGAGTCTGCTGTAAGCTTGTCTGGATGATGGCTTTTGTTTCATTACTGCCTGTATTCCAAACCTTGCAGGGTGCCTGGAACATAACAGTACACTACAAAAGCATTGGTAAGTAAGTAAGAACAACTAGGATGATGAGTACACTTCTGGCCTAAGTAATCAAATGACTGTCAATCCATACTTCAAGCACTATGAAAATAACTGTGTGAGGATAAAGACATTATCATATCTGAAAGAGAACTACAGACTCTGAGTCTGATTCAATAAGAAAGATGATTTTGGTAATTTATTCACAAAAGATCAGAAGCCAAGAAGTCATAGGTCATAAAATGACAAATATTTCACTATTTCCAAAGAATATCAAAGAGTTCTAAAGCCAGAAAATGTATATTGCTATAAGACCTGGCTTATAGACAATAGAATTATTAATTTATTAGGGTAAATTCATTGTCTCTAAAATTAACTTCTGTCAAATAAGCAAGCCAATGTAGAAAGCAAAGAAATGAGCTTACCGCATAAGCATAAAGCAGCACTTACTCTATAAAATTTCACATACGCAAGTCAAAAAACTGTAATCCAGCTGGCAAGTAAATATACACAAAATATACGGAGAATTGCAGCCATTAAAAAAATAACATAAAAGGAAATACCATGAGATGTCTGGAAAATCTGAGCTCCAGGAAAAAATAAATGTCATCACAAAACCTGCTATCCAGAATAGACCTAGAAACCAAGTGAACACAGGAGTATTGAGCCATTTTCAAATGGCATAAAACTCTAAGTAATCCTGTCTAACCCAGTACTTATAACCAAAGGGACTCATACAATGACAGCTACAGAGCCTTTAAAAGAAAAATTTGTTCCTCACTCTTTTACAGAAAAATAAAAACAAGTAAAGGCAAAAAACTTAAATACCAATTCAAAAAGGAAAAGAAACTGGGAAAATATTAAAAGCAGATTTAGTAAAGCAAAGGGAACAATACCAAAACAAAAATAAGAGCAAAATAAAAGGAGATAAAAGGCAATTAAAGCAGAAAATGGTCTATCAGAAAACCCAGAAGACTAAGGCTGCTTTTAAAACCATGCTTTAAAAAAAAAGGGGGGGGGGGCCCTAGGGATTTAGCTCAGCGGCATAAGTGCCTGCCTTGAAAGCAGGCAGTCGTGAGTTCGATCCCTGGTACCGATAAAAAGGAAAAAGACAAAAAAAAAAAAAGACACAATAAATTTA